GTGGTGGCTCTCTGCACCCCTGTTCTCATCTTTGCCCAACCACAGTGCCCACTCTCCATCCTGCCTACCCGGTAGGGCGCTTGACACCTCGCCCACAGATGCTTCAGCACCTCAGCTTTGCCAGCAACCCTTGAAGCTCTTTCCTGTCTGGTGAGCAACAAAACCCCAGGAAGCTCAAGGAACAAAGCTCCCCGCCCCCTGTAGGTTGTGAGACCTGCTCTCACCTTTTCCTATCTGAGCTTTGTGCTGATACCTCTTCTCTCAAGGAGCCTTCCCAGATCTCCTTTCCAGGGAGTCCTGCCTGCCTTCTGCTTTCTGACAGCCTGGGTGTGGTTCTAGCTCCACCTTACCTTAGCTGTGTGACTGAGGGCAAGTTGCTGAACCTCTCCTCTGTGTCTCCATGTCTCCATTTGCAAAATGGGGGTGGTAGTTGCCTCCCATGTTTGCTGCAAAGATTAGAAGGGTCAATGCATGAGATAAATGCCTGAGGACACTTTCATATATACGAGGTAATTAGTCATATTTGGTAAATAGTAGCTACTCTAATATTGTAATGATTTTTCAGTTCCTGTATTTATTTGTGTTGCTTCCAGATGTAAGAAGTGATGTAAGCATTCTATGCTTCAGTTTCCTTCTCTGTCAAGTAGTGCCTCAAGTAGGGTTATTGTGACTATTAAATGAAATACTATCTATTAAACAGTTATGGATGCTTAGTAAGTATTAAATATTTTTATTGTCCCAAAGTTTATTTCATCTATTATTTATAAAACTATAGTGGATTTTGTTTTTGATTAATATTTTCATAATCTGTCTGTTTCATCCTTTTATAGCCAACCATTCTCTATCTTTAGATGTTAGGTGCTTTTGTACACAGCATAAAATTAAAAAATTAAAATCGCCTCTGATAATCTCTGTCTTCTAACAGTAGAATTAACCCACTTACAGTTAGTGTGTTTATTACTATTTTGAACTTATTTCTACCATCTTTTTTATTTTTACTTTTTTGTGCTTTTTTATCCTTCTTTTTTATTTTGGATAATTTTAGTTATTTTTAAATTTTTTTGCCTTTTTTCCCCCCACCTCTCCTCCCCCCCCTTTTTTTTTTTTTTTAAAGATTTATTTATTTATTCATACAGAACTGGGGTACAGGCCAGAGATGCGGAGGGTGAGAGGATTCACCAGAGACAAAGTGGGGAGCAGAACAGGCAGATCGACGAAGTACACTGCTGAGGGGAGCAGCGGGCGGGTCAGGAGAGGTCTGCCACGCCATGTGGTCACCTCCGGGGCAGGCGGGAATCGAACTCATGCGGAAGTGGCTTTAGATTCTCAGTGCTGTGCTTTAACCCGCTGCGCCACCAGGGAGGGCCATCTCCCCCCTTTTTTTTTGCTTCCAATATTCACCACCACTGTCATCACCACTCTCACAATTTTACTCTCTTCTTTAGAGAAATGTCCCTGGAAAGCCTGAAATTTGGAGTGCTTTCAGTATGAGATGTCATGCTAGGGCCTCTTTGTTAAGCGAAGCCACTGAAAGTTGTAGCTCCCTCGTGTAAATAGAGTCCCATAACCCAAACTTCTCAAACTTGGGTACCTGCAGGGCAGATGCAAGAAGTGAGTGCGCTGGCTGTACCTCATTATGTGGGGTGGGGTCTGGCAGACTGTACAGCTTGTAACCCACATTTGGAATGGCCACCACTCAGCCAGGTGGACCTGTGGGTTCAGGGTGGCCAGAGTTTCTGCTTTGCTGAGAGGCTGGTAATAGCACTTGATCTGTGGGTCCATGGGCTGTCCTGAGACTGGGCTAGTCCCTGTTCCCAGAGCTAGGACACCTAGGCTCGGAGAGGGGAAGTGGCTTGCTTACACTTTAATTGTTTAACCTTATTCAGGTCAGATGTGAGCTGTCTTGCCACATTTGTCCTCTTACCTCTCAGAGTGGCAGGAAGGCGTTTTCAAGACCTGTGAGCATTATTTCTTTTCTACTATTAGTCCTTAATCTGTGGGATACATTTTTTCCCTGACCTGCATGCAGCAGGGATGGAAATTGTTAAAAACTGAAAATAGATTTGCATGAAATCTACATATAGTTTGCACGATTGGAGGTTTTCCTGCCATGCTGAGAAGCTTTTCAGTCCTGGGTTTTCTTGGATTCCCAGATGTTTCTCACTTCTTTAACTGACCCGTCTTGTCTACCTCTTCTTTTACATCCTGCTGCCCCTCTTGATGTGGCATTACTGCAGTACTGCAAGTCCAGGAAAGTACTTGCCAGAGAGACCATAGCTAGGCCTTTGGAACTTAGACATGGCACCCTGGGCAGAGGTCTGTGGGCAGAACCAACTGCTGGGTGCAGGATCGGCCCCTCCCAGAGCTGGCTGAAGTGGCCCCAGAGAGAGAGAGTGTGTCCCAGGCCTCATTGCCGTCACCCCTGCAGGTGTTCTTTTCTCCTCATAGAGAGCACAGTGTGGCTTTCCAGCTCCCAGTCCCCCACCATCCCCAAATCACAGCAAGTTGCTGGTATCGCTGTTTCTTCCAGTGACAAAACCAGCTTGGTTTTTACACTCTGGTTTTATGGGTCCGTCTTCAGGCTGCGTTCAGAAGTTCAAATGCCACTGCTGGACCTGGGCGCTTTGTGTCTCTTGGCCGGTTTATCTCTGTCAGTTTTATTCTCAGGAGGCTCCCTTCTCAGGGGGATTTTAGGGTACTCAGGCCTGTGTCTGACTGGCTGCTTACGGGGAGAGAGACCGTGTCTTTCCCAGTGACCATCTCACTGCAAGCTTCAGGCCCAAGCTTGTTGGGTCAGCTTAGGGCATGTGAGCTCCTTGAGGCAGTGGCTGAGGACAGGAAGGATCAGGCTTTGTGCTCACTTGGCACTGGCTCAAGGAGCCCAGACCCTATAGGACTCGGACCAGAGAAGGCAAATGAGGATGGCAGATCTCTGCCACACCCCATCTTCTCTCTTCATAGCCCCCTTCTCTTCTTCCTTCAAGGATGAGAACAGAAGTAGAGCTTGGCTTCAGCCATGTTGCTTTGTTGCCTGGTTGGCCTGGAGCCTGGGGCCTATGTCTCAGACTGTCCTCTTATCACCTCTGTGGGCAGAAACCACCTCCTCTGGCGGCTGGGGTGGGCGCCAGCGTGACTAGAGTGTGGAGAGAGGTGAGGCCTCTTGGGAGCACCGGCAGCTCTGCCCTCAACATCCTCTCTTCTAGGAAGTTCTCGCCAAGACCTGCCTGCCACAGGGCCCAGGCCTGTGGGCCGGAATGCTGGGGCAGGTCCCCAGCCTGGCTCTGGACGGGCTTTGCTGCCCATCTGGCTCGCTGCCCTCTGGTTGTCTAAGGATGCCCTCCCCAGGACTGGCCACTGCTCAGGCACTGTTCCCACAACCTACTTTTGGGGTGTGCATATATTCACTTTCTGCTGGATCTGCAGAACCTGAAGATGTGGGTGAGCATCCACCAAACCCTTCTTCCTAGCTCCGTGACCTTGGACACAAGGCTTCACCTCTCAGCCTTAGTTTCCTCCTCTCTAGAGTGAAGATCATGATACCTTCCTCACTGGCGGGATTTGTGTGTTACATGACTCAGCGTCTCTAAGTCAAGGGCAGGGGGCCATGGAGTAAGTTCTCAGATGCCAGCTACTGTGGCTTGTACTGTTGGGATGACTGTTACTACATAGAAGTAGAAATAAACATGAGCTGTTGCTATGACTGGAACTTCCGATGGTGTGAACATTGTTCCTACTGTGCTCCGAGATGCCCTTGTCCGTCCTTTCATTTGGCCCAAAGAGCATTAAGAGGTGCCTGACTGTCATCTACAGATGCGCACACTTGACCTCAGAGAGGTGGGCCACCTGCACAAGGTCACACAGCTGGGACGTGGTGAGGATGGGGCGCAAATCACTGCCTTTCTCTTCCTGTGGCCTCTGTTGACCATAAGGCCTTCACTGAGTCATGGACCCCAAAGAAAAGTGGTCAGCCAGCGCTTGTATCTCTCTTGGCGTCAGGGCCATGGCGTGGCCCTCGCCCCCAGGTCTCAGGTGCTCATGTGTGTCTACCTCCCACCCGGGGAAGAGGGAAAAGAAAGGAAAAGGAAGATGGGAGCTGCACCCAGCCTTTTGCACACGCCTGATGGATCAGACCTGGTGTGCGGCAGGTGGGGTTTGTCTTTATTGTGGGTGGCCCTGTGCTCAGCTAAGAGTCTGTGCTGTTGCTTTCGATCAGAGCTCAGCAAACTCCCTTTGAAGGACCAGAGAGCAATATTTGGGCTTTGTGGGCCATATGGTCTCTGCTACAGCGACTCCACGTGCCCTTGTGGGGCAGCAGCAGCCCCGGACCACATGGGAATGAAGGCGCGTGTGGCACTCCGAGGAGATGTTACCTTCTGGAGAGGGGGGGGCAGGTTCGATTGGGGCCTCAGGCTGGTGTTTACCCGCTTTAAGAGGAGGACATGCCGATCCTGGGTTCGGGACGCCCCAGTCATCACTGGTGGCCCCTGTTCCCACTTGCTGAGAGGAACTGTGGGGCTGGCTGGCCACGCTTGTCCCTTGGGCTTTGGTGGCCTGAACGATACTTGGGTGCATTACACCTCTTGTTCACAGAACATGGGCTTGGGGTGCTTGACTGAGTCAAACCACAGTCCTGATCATGGCCAGGGGCTCCGGTTGTGATTTGGCATGTGGCTGTGCTTCCATGCTGCTGTCAGCTCCAGAGGGCCTGGGCAGTGTCTTGGCACCTGTGTCCCTGAGGAGGGCCCTGCATGGGGCTGGGCACATGGGGGCCTCAGGGAAGAATGAGTGAGTTTGCTCATCTCTTGCCTGCCCATTCTCAGTGGGCATGTGCCCATCGTCCATGCTCCTCCCACCAGCCTGCTTCCTGGCGAGCAGAGGGGAGGCTGGGTGGGTCAGGCCTCAGCCTCCTGTGCGTGGCAGGGCTGGGATTGGGCTCCAGGTTGGGCGACCTGGATGCCATGTTGGTTCCCGCTGAGTGGGTGTCTCCCCTTCTCCCCTAGGAGCTGGCCAAGAGGACCCCCGGCAAGCACCCAGACCACCCCGCGATCCAGAGCGCCCTGCAGGCCATGAAGACCGTGTGCTCCAACATTAATGAGACCAAAAGGCAGATGGAGAAGCTGGAGGCGCTGGAGCAGCTGCAGTCGCACATTGAAGGCTGGGAGGTGAGTCCGGGGTGGGGGGCTTCTGGGCCCAAGAGGCCTCTGGGGTGGAGGCAGGCCCAGGTGGGGCACCACAGATTGACCTGCAGCATATTCTCTTTGCTTATGTGGCATTTTGATTTTAAAGAAATCGTTTGATTATTTCCCAGTTGAGGCCTCACAAAAATCTAGTTTTTGAGTTTCCTATGAAAACTCACTAACACCACACTCCCATATTCCAGGGCAACAGCTTCTGAAGCCTCTTGTTTTCCTTAGCCCCCACCATTCCCCCACGGCTCCCTAATCATTCTCCTTCCCCTGTCATCTTTTGATATTAAGGGCCCACTCCAGGGAAGAAGTCTGGCCTTCACACTCCCTTGCTGGGTGACTTTAGGCAAATGTCTTAACATCTCTGAACTTCAGTTTCCTCTACACTTGGCATATTGTAGGTACTCAATAAATGGGAGGTTTGATGTTACCATCACTGTGATTATGAGGGGATAGAATTCATAAGTTCTTCTGAATGTATAATGTATTTGTTTAAATAAAACTTCTCCACATCTTCCTTAGAGATATCCTATAAATCTGTAGATGGGAAATTCTGGATAAATTAAAAAAAAAAAAAAACAAACAAAAGAAACTCCATGTTCGAGTAAATACATCTGGCAAAGAGGTTGAGACCAAAAGAAGAAAGACTCCTGGACACAGATTGTTCTCTGAATCGTCTGCCTTTGGCTCTTTGGCTTTTCTGGCATTTGATTTGCTTGAGAATTTTTACTTCTTTCCCTATCCCAGGGAATCTTAAATGTGTCTGGATTGCTCTGAGGTTGAGGATTTGGCACGGAGAGGGCAGGGTATGTTCATGGAGGTGGGGTTGTGGATTACTGTTCACACTCTTTTGCTGGACCTGCCTGCCCGGCCAAGGCTGGAGAACAAAGAGCTGCGTTTTTTAGGCCACTTTGTCACTTAGATTTGTGATACGACTGGCCCAGATCAGATGCAGTTGCTGGAGACTTAAAGACTGGGATGGGATGGAGGCCGTCTTTGTGCGGTCTTTGCAGCAAAGCACGGCTGGGGTCGTATCTGCTCTCTGTGCAGCGTGAGCAGAGCGCCTGGGTTCTAGCTTCTTGGGTGTCAGGAGACAGGGCGTGGGCATCTGTCTTGGTGGTGGTGTAGATCTGGCAGGCGCAGGATGGCTTTGTAGCTCCTGAAGGCCAGGATGCAGTCTGGGTGGTATTTTCCTGGGGTGCCAGTGTGGATGAGTGGTGTTCTGAACCCCCTTTTCTCCACTGTGGCAGAGGAAGTGACTGCCCTGGAGGGCCAGTTCTGAGGTGTGTTCCTGGTTTGTTGGGAACCCCGTCCTGGACTCCTGGCTCTTCTGGCCCCTTCAAGGGTCAAGTTAGCCTCTCATTTGTTTTTGTTTAAAATACATAGTTTGGTTTCTGTTTCCTCTAGCTGAGCATTGCCTGAATCTCAAGGGTGTCTGTTAGGGTGCATTCTCTAAGGGTTTTTTTTTCAGCCCCACAATGGCAGAGCTCCAGTTTGCTCTTGGCCTTACCCCCATGGCTCCATGATGACAACTCATGTGCAGGGGGAGATGGGAGCATGGCCGAGGTAATGAGTGGGACCCTCCCCCACCCGCCCAATATAGGGAAAGCCCCAGAAAGACTTCCCCTTTTATCTCATTGGCCAGAGGTGGATCATATGGCCACATTCAATAAGTGTATGAACCTAAAGAGCAAATAGTGTTGATGCATTTAAGGATCTTTTGATTTTGAGCTTCCTGGCAGCCACGGTGAAAAAGGCATAGATTACTGAGCATTCATTGTCAAAAAGGGGAAGAAGTTTCCTGGCAACCAGCTGGAGAAGAATTTTTTCACATGGGCCCCTGTGGAGAGGGTATTGAGCAAACAACTTGGCAGCCAGAGTACAAGTGATTTCCAGATGTTTCCTTCTGATTAGGGCCTAGGGAAGTAGGAATTAAGGGTTTTTAGATACCTTTTGGACCCTGAAAAATCTATCATTTGAGAATAGCCCTAATTGTGGTGACTGTCTAGGTGCAGCAGGAAGTAAAGTGACTCAGAGCAAGGATTACAGTCGGCGGGCACCTCACGTGCTCCCACCACTAGATGGGACGGGAGGCTGCTGTTGTTAGCTCTGCTGTTCCGGTGAGGAGGCTGAGGCACAAAGCCTTGGTTTTGGGACTCAACCCTTAACTTGTAGCCTGCCTAGCTCAGCAGGTCTGCCCTGCTCTCTCGCCTCCTAGTTGTCTAATTTTACCTCCTAGTGCCATTTTTGAGGATATAAACATTCTTTGGAAAATATGAAGTGGTTTTCCATGCAGAAGTTGAATCTTCAAGGTGACATGGAAAATCATATGCTCTAACTAGAAGAGATAATGTTAACAGTGGAGCGACTTGCAACAGCCTCGTGTATCAGCAGTCACGACCTCAGGCACAGGGTGACCTGGGGTGCCACAATGTTCCCCAGTGCATGACATGGTTGCAAACGCTCATTTCTGATACCATCTTCTCCATCACTTCTGATCTTTTTACTTGACCTCTTGCCGGTCTGATTAGAGGGTTGTCATCTCCCTCTTGGAGTTCTGTGTGCTCGGGACTTGTGTTCGGAGGGTCGCAGTTGCTTTCTTGCTGTGTGCTTGAGTTTGCATCGCTTCTTTGACCCCCATCAGGTCCATGGGGTCATTTTGGGCCTGGTGCTTCATAAGCCACTTGCCCCTACAGTGGAGAAACTGGTTTAGATAAAACCAGATCAGTCAGTCCCTAAATCCAGTTCAGGGAACTGGAAACGGCCATATGTGGCAACACCACAGGCGGGGTGAAAGGTGAGCGCTGCCCATGTGAGGGGTCCTGAGCCTCAGTTTCCTCATCTGACAGCAGCCCTCTCTCTGTGAGTCTCCTGAGGATCTGGGAGGTGGAGGCAGCAGGGCACCCAGGCTGGCCTTCAGGGGCTCAGCGTGGGAGCTGAGACGCCAGGGGACCTGGGCAGCCTGGCGGGATTCCTCCCTTACGAGTTTTAGACCAACAGCAGCAGCCGCAGCTTCGGCCGGGGCGTCTGGGCAGGGGACTCCTGCAGGGCGGCTCCCGCTGAAGCCCCGCAAGCCCCATGTGAAGCACAACGAGCGCTTTTCCCGAGCGAGGACCAGGCGCCCTCCTGCTGCAGCCCCTGGAGGCCGCAGCTTGAGACACTGTCAGCTGCTCACTCGTGCATGAGGGGTCAGAGGGAGACCGGAGTGAGGGAACAAATTGCCCTTTAGAAGGGCCGTGACTGAAAGTTCTCGCATGTTCTCGCCTGGGATGGCTTGTGCTCCCTGGGGTCACCCCTGTGTAGACCCCCGCTCTAGCCTAACAACCACATACAAACCTTTTTGGTTATTTTAAGAAGCTGTCCTGGGGGTCAGTGGGGAGACGTGGGTCCAGCCTGTCTGGGTTCATATCCCAGCTGGTCGCCTTACTTTGAACCAGTTACCTTTTTTGTTCTGTGCCTCAGTCTGCTCATCTGTAAGATGAGGGTTGAAGGAGGAGCTGATACTTACAGTGAGCATGTGTTAGGCGCCGTGCACCTGCCAGCCTGTCATCTCCTCTCGCGTTACAGGTCCCTTTGATGCCTGCCACCTGTGCTGTCTGCAGGGGGTCTCCAGCCCAGGCCTGTGGTGACCTCGGTGCTCAGCCCCTTCCTGGGGAATCCTTAGCACTGCCCCTGACCTTGGGTTCAAGGACTCCTGGGAGACTGTGGGCTGGCTGGGCTTCCCGGTAGAGCTGGGCAGGAGGGGCATCTTCTACAGCCTTCTTGGCATTTCAGATGCAGTTTCCTGGGGTGGGGAACGAAGACCCGAGGGGTGGCCTTCCCGGCTGGGTACCCTTCCTCTCTGAGGTCCCCTGACTATGCCTGGGGGGGCATGTGGCCCCATGACGTAGGCCTGCTTGACCTCAGGACTCCAGACCTGCAGCCTGGCCTGGTGTCAGATTCCTACAGAGGTGGCTAAAATCCCCTGTTGGAGGCTGGAAAGGCTGTTGTGTGGGCAAGAGCCAGGTGAGGGGAGGAGATGGGAAGCCCTGTGCTTTTGAGGAACTGCTGTCTCCTGAGCTGGTGCGTCCTTGCCTCGGGAGTCATATTTGTCCTGTGTGAGGACATGGAAGCCCGGCCCGGTGCAGTGGACTCATTGCCTCGTGGGGTCACTCTGCCGTGGGCCTTGGGTGTCCACCTGTGTCTGAGCTGTGGTTTCTCTTCACGGGTGCACTTCCTGTCCCCCTGTAAGTTCCTAACTGTGAGGCAGCGGGCTGTCCGGGATCCCCGCAGACCCCTGGTGCTGGAGGGCGGATGGGCTTGCCAGGCCCAGAGGTCGGAGGGCATGCTGCTCGCCCAGCAGCTGCCGAGTGCTGTGGGCAGCTAGCAGACAGCCTGACTTCTGAGTTGCGAAACCAGTTCCCATGTTGCATTTTGGAAATAGCTGAATTAGCACATCTCATGCGGAAGGGAATTCTGCGGCCAGGTCTCCCTCTCTCCTCCCAAGTTCATTTTCAGGCAGAAATAGCATCAGCTCTCTATTTCTCCCTTCACTGGAATTCGCAGGTCTGGCAAAGGAATTTTCCCTCAAGTACGACTTTCCATGATACTCTCAGATGGCAGAGCCCCCGCGCCCACCTGCGATGGAGCCTGTCTCCTCCCCTTCCGTGTGCGTTTAAGTACATTGCGGGCTGCGGTCAGGAGAGGAGGGCTGGTGAGGTGAAGGAGTACCCCCGCAGGCTGGGCTGGGCGGCTCCGCTCCATTCAGACCCGGTGTTGCCCAGCTCCTCACACTACGTCGGCTGCGTGTCCCACGGGCCTCCAGCTGTGGCCACAGGGGCGGGAGGCAGGGAGGGGGAGCGGTCCCACGCAGGAAATGAGGCAGAAGTTGGCTCACCGGCCGAAATTTGATCACATGGCCATACCCGTACTTCAACCGACACTGTGTTTGAGGGACTGGCAAGGGATACTGGGGAATGACCGGGCAGCCACGCGCCAGCTGATGTTCCCTGAGACCAGAGGAGCACAGATTCGGGGCCTGGCCGGGGGAGCTGCCTTAGCTGACATTCTGTGCCACCACCCTCCCCGCCCCCGAGGTCTCTTTCCAGTTTCTTCTCTGTTAGTGCATTGGGGTCTCTCCGCCCTGGCCTTGGGGCCTTGGTCGCAAGCCCCGGCCCCCAGTCCCGCCACCCACCCCCCAGTGTTCCAGACAGTTCCGTGTTGCCCCAGGCTCTGAGGACTCCTCCCATCAGGACCTCCCCTCACCCTCAGCTTCTTTATCTTCACGGTCCTCCCTGTGCCCTTCTTGACCCCATGGCCCTGACCACATGGCCCTGGCCCTCGGGCTTGACCAAGTAGTGTGCTCTCAAGTGGCCTTGGCAGCGGTCACATAGATTCCGCACCTGCTCTGTAAGCATTTAGTGAGCACCTACTGTGTGCCAGAGTGTGGTAGGTGTGGAGTACAGTGGCAGATTTTGACAGATGCTTGACGGTGGCCTTCTTGGTGGGGAGTGGGGTAGACAGAATAACAAATCAAGACATGAATGAGGGAGGGCTAGGCAAGGACAAAACCCAGCCCCCAAAACCAAACCTGAAATAAGACCCAAACCAAACAAGGTCAGATACTAACCGGGCTGGGGGAGCAGGGGGGGTCCTCTCACCAAACTGAGCCCCAATCCCAAGCTTACACTCTTCCAGCCCTGTGCGGGCGCTTCACAGAAGGGCACCACTGACCAGACTGTGCTGGCTCCCTGTCTCCTGACAGATTTGCCTCTAGTGGTGCACTTAGATTTGGGGTTGTAAGGGAGTCAGGGGTAGGGTCTTTCTCTGGGAAGGGAGCTGGTACCCCAGAACTCGCTGGATTTGCCAGCACATTCACGGCCCCTGCTTTGTTCTCCAGGGCTCCAACCTCACCGACATCTGCACCCAGGTCCTCCTGCAAGGAACTTTGTTGAAAATCTCTGCGGGCAACATCCAGGAGAGGGCCTTCTTCCTCTTCGACAACCTCCTTGTCTATTGCAAGCGGAAATCCAGGTGAGTGGCTGGGTGGGGGAGGGGGAGCCGGAGGGGACTGGCTGCTCAGGTGGACTGGGTGGGTGCAGCCCTGACAGTTCCTTGAAGAGACACCTCAGGCTTGTCACTTTCCTCACTGGGCCCCTTTTCTCTTCTGCGTTGAGGGGTTTGTTCTCGATTGGTGCTGTGCCATAGACATACTTCATATGTCCACTCCGGTAGGTCTGTTTTATATCCTCCTGTCCCCCCACTGCTGACCCCTTTTCTATCTATCAGGCTTCCTGCCTGTTCCCACTGAGAATCCACTCCCTGGCGGTGTCCAGCCCCCTGCCAACCTCCACCCCAGCCCTTCCCTGCCTCTGGCCCTGGCTGTCTGAAACAGGCACGTTTCCCAGAACACTGGTGTTTCGAAAACAGAATGTCCCTTCAGGCTTCTGTGACCGGCTCCCGTCTCGGGCCAACGTTGCTCAGCCCTCACCTACCCTGGAGCGGGTTTTTCCTCCTGGGGTGTGGGTGCACCTGTTGGGCTCTGGCCATTGGGGTCCCAGTGGGCTTTGCAGAGCCTGTCTGGGGCTGCCTGAGTTCTTTCCAGACCATCCCCTGCCAGGCTCTGCAAGTGAGCCTGACTGACTGGCGGGACAGGACACATCTGCCTCCTGAGAGACGTGGGCGGGAGACTGCCATTGCTGTCCTGAGGCTGGAAGCCAGAGGGATCAGGCAGTGGTGGATGGGACCCCTGCAGGAAATGCCTGACGCTACAGGATGTGGGCAGGGGAGGCCCTTGGGTGCTGCTGGTCTAGCCCCCAAGTGGAGGCTCCAGGGGTCAGAGTGGAGGGGAGAGTCTAGAAATTCACCTCCCTTTCTGTAGAAGGGTCAACAGAGAGCCCTGTCTTCTCTGTCTCGGCCACTCGCTCAGCCTTGCGGGCATAGAAGGAGCAGTGAGGACACGCGGTTGTGCCCTTTACTAGCTGTGCAGCGTGGTGGGTCCTGCAAGCATTATAGCCTCTTGTACCTCTGGTCCCCACCTGTTTAATGGGGTCGATGATGTAGGTTGTTTTGTGGGTTAAGGTAGGACCGTAAAGGGGGTAAGGTGATGTCGGTGCATAATTCAGAAACTAGAAATGACTCTGAATCTCTACCGTGGTGTCTAGACTGTAACCAGGTCTAGAGTGAGGCTCCCTTTCCATCCCAGCTCCCTCTGGGCCTTTGCCTCCTCCCGCCGTCCTCATCCCCAACAGGTGACACCACCGTAGGACCCGCTCAGGCCAGATCAGAGTTATCTTTGGTCTGATCCTCACCCCACACCCATTTCGTCAGCAAGTTCTTCTGTCATCAGACTTAGGCCACAGGCTCAAAGCAGTGCCAAAGCTAATTCCAGGAGCGAGGTTGCGTGTACATGTATGTAAATGATTGCATGTAAATTACATACAAACACAGAGTCAAAAATAACCAAGGCAGTTTTGCTGAAGGACGAAACCAGAGGTCTCCTCCAGCTGAAACCGAGGCTTATTATAAAGCTTACATGGGTTCAGGGTGAAAATAGACACGTAGGTGAGCAGAATAGAACAGGTAGGCCAGAAGTAGACCCACATGTCAGCTGTTACTGGTCATTTGAATTTCAACCAATGTGGTTCACTAAGTGGGTCAACAATGGGAAAAAGCGAGTCTTGACCCTTCGCTCACACAGTGCCCAAAAGTTAACTTCAGATAAACCGTAGACAGAAATGCACACAGCAAAGCAGTAAAGCTTCTAAAACATGAAGATAGGAGATTGTATGATCTGGGGATAAGCAAAAATTCCTTAGTAGGACAAAAAGTTTAACTATGAAGGAGGAAGAGATTGACCAGCCTATTTCACACTAAGAACTCTTCATCTTGGTGTCTACCAAGAGAAGAGTAAAAAGGCAAGTCACCCGCTAGGAGATTTTGAGATAATCGAGAAGGCTCTCATCCAGATTACATTCAGAAGTGCTAAAAGCTGCGCCGGGCATCCTGCCTATTCTTATAAATAAAGTCTTAGCAGCAAACAGCCACGCCCATGTATCTATAGTGTCTGTGCTGTTTTCTTGACGCCAGGGCAGAGTTGAGTAATTGGAATGGAGGCCATATGGCCCTCAAAACCAAAACTATTTACTGTCTGTCCCTTTCCAGAGAAAGTTTGCCCCCTCCTACTATATGTCGTTAAGAAAAAGACAGACAACCAGTAGAAATTTGGTCAAGGGAAGGTCATTTCACAAAAGAAGACCCAGATGGCCAATAAACACGAAATGAAATGTTTAACGAGCCATTGCCATGTGCCCCGCAGAATGGCCCAAGTGGAGGTGAAATACCAGCGGCAGAGGGTGTGGCGCGAACGGCATGTGCCGGCTCTGCTGGGGCGGTCGGCGGTCGGAAACTGCCGTGTGCGCCCTATGGCTCAGCAGCTCCCCTCCCAGGTAGAGAACCCCGGACAGGCGCGCGTGTTCTAAATAAAGCATGTTAACAGCGGCACCAAGCTGGAAGCAGCCCGAATGCCCAGCACCCTCGGCCTTGGGATTCCACTTATGGGACGTTCAGTCACAGGCAAATCCCAGGCCCGGACTCAAGATGGCGCTACCCTTGTTGGGAGGCAGTGCGATGGGGGCTTTTGGGGTGCCAAAGTGTTTATACGGTGTTCACTTTGTCGTGAATCGAGCTGTGTACTGCGTTGGGCATGTTGGACACAGATTTTATACTTTTTAGAAAAAGGTTAGGAGAGGTCTGCCGCGCCATGTCATCACTTCCAGGGCGGGGATCGAGCTCGTGCGGAAGTGGCTTTAGCTTCTTAGTGCTGCGCTTTAACCCGCTGCGCCACCAGGGAGGCCCCAGCTTTTATACTTTTAACACACAGTTTGTAACACAGTGTGAGTGCGGGTGCATAAGATAAGTGCACACAAACTATCACACAGACCGTCGCCTCCTTCCGAGCCTCCTCGGCTCTCCCGGCTGCCCACTGTCTCCACCAAGAGTCCGTTCTCCACAGGCAGCCAGGGGTAGTTGTTAAAACACACCCAAGGTTCCTCAAACTGCTAAACATGGAGCTTCCCTACGACCCAGCAATCCCACTCCTAGGGATCTACCCAAAAGACACAA